AAGGTGGGGGGGGGGGGGGGGGGGGGTCGTACTCATGCTTCGCATTCCTTCTAGTTGTTAAGAACTTTGACCACGCGTTCTCGAGGGTGTGTGTGACGGGACACCAAATGATGGGTTTGTCGCCCTTTCGTGGGGAGGCGGGGGGCTCGCTCTGAAAGCGTCTGCATCCCCCAGAGGTTTTCATTATTTGTTTTCTATGTCTCGCTAGTTGTTACAACTGCGGCACAGCAGGCGTGTGCCTACACCTCCAGTTTTACCCTTCCTATGACTTCGCGAAGCAAACATTGTGTCAGATAAAACGGTGGTCACATCTGAGGATGCCACGTGCTAACGCTCTTTGTTGTTTGTTCTTGCCGTCGTCGTCTCGACAGGAAAAACAAAAAAAACGTCTTGGCCACCGTAAAGTGCACAGTAAGCACCTTTGGCACGTCCGTCATTCTTCTCACCAGTCAGTCGATATGACAGCAAAGGCCTCGCTACACACACACAAGATATAGGTCAACAAAAAAGAGGAAGACCAGAAAATCCACAACTACATTGTGGTTGAAACAAAAAAAACACACGGCTATCGGCTAAGCGAAAGCGAACGCCATGTACCAGCTACGCCAGGACTACCCAAAACAATACTTAGTACAACATTACTTAGGGCCGTGGTACGCAGAGAGAGAGAGAAAGAGAGAGAGAGAAAGAGAAAGAGAGAGAGAGAGAGAGAGAAAAAAGACAGACGGTCCCGATGGGGGGCATGCGTGCGTGGTGCAGCCGTCGTGCATAGGCAGGGACAGAGAGAGGGACAGGCGGAGGGCCAGAACAAGAGGTGGGAGCTCGAGAGACAGAGATATATATGCCTCCCAAAAGAGCAATGCCGGTCGCCCCGGTGGTCTAGTCGGTATCCTCGAAACAATACATAGTACAAAAATACGTCCACGAAAACACCATGACCGCATCCATCCATCCCCCTTCGCCCTAGAATTTTGTCCCGCGGACAGAAGTGCACTTGTTTTGGCTTGAGTTAGAAACACACATGCTATTGTTGATATTTTCTCCCTCACAATCTTGGGAGGCTTGAGCGGCTCCTCCGGCCACGTGTGGCTGCACATCTCGGCAAACTCGTCATACTGGTACCACAGGATCAGGCGAACCTGCACATGATATTATTTGCAGCGGCATGTGGACGACCGAAATGAAAATACGACAACAGCGAAAACAACATCAACAGCAAGGAAAAATAGCACAAATACTTCGAGAGGGAAGGTTTGTCAAACAGAACAAAGTGCCTAGGTGCATACTTTACCCTCAGGAAGAGACAAAAATTTGAGAACCAAAATCTACCATATGGTTGAAGAAACCATGATTCGGTTGGTTAGACGCAAGAGGTTTTCCAGCACACGGTAGCCGTGCGGCATGCCCTGCACGAAAAACGCAACAGCTTCACCTAACCGTTGACGTTGTTGAGCCCAACGTCTATGGAGCATTCCGTCACGCAAACAAGCGGCAATACCGTAGGTGGCACAAGATAACACACCCCCTGGACTGATTTTCAGAGCTCAATTTCTCCACAGCAGAAAGGGCAGGGAATGGCGGCGTTGGAACTGTCCCGTCGAGGAATTGCCGAAAACATGTAATTCGGATCCGTCGTGGGGTAGTTGAGCTCTGAAACGCCAGTCCAGGGGGTGTGGTACCTTGTGTCACGTACGGCAACGCTCGCACATACCTCTCCGAAGCGCTTACGGCGTCGCTCGATGCAAACGTCGCACGCCCGTGCTTCCTGCTCCGACCTGCCGCCGTTCCGAGGAGTACAAGAGGGGGACCGTGTCAGCAGCAGAGGCAGAGTGGATAACCATGACGAGCACACGCCATACAATTGAATAACCTCGACCAATCTTGAGAGACAGAGACAGAGAGAGACAGAGAGAGAGCAAAGACACAGCAAGGCCAACCACGAAACTGGACCAAGACAACCCGAGAAACAGGAAAGTACCGAGGGGGGGGGGGTATCCGGAAAAAAAAGAAGCACGTAAATGACACGCCCCCCCCCACACACCACGGCAAAAGCTCACTGGTGCGAATGGTCAGAAGGGCCCATGCTCCCGCCTTTCCTCCCAAAGCCTAGCTTGGTTGAACTGCCTTGTCTCCCCCCTGAAGCTGAGTACCCGCCGCCGTTGCCCCCGGCGAAGTCGTCGTCAACGCCTAGTCCTACATGTATGGGTGACTCAGGCGGAGAGTTGATTTCGCCTGCACAACAAATGGCAGAATTTTGGGGGAGGCTGCCCCAGTTACAAGGGTGTTGAGTACTCAGGCCGCGGGCAGTGTGAACGCGGCAGCGACATTCACATGGAACGCCAAACTAACGCAACCGTACCAGCGACACCAACACCAATCACTAAATGTTGAACAGGAGAATGAAAGCGATAGCAGCCGCTAGATAGACACAGAGCGGAAGTTTGGACCTTGGCCTGCATCACCCGCCGGCCAAGCATTCTGTTCAGACCAATCAAAACCCAGAACCACCGGTGTTGACCAATGAGAGAACGGTTTACAGTACCTCCATCCTCGTTGTTGTTGTTGTCGAAGTCGTCCTCCACGTCATCCACCGTGTACGCATCACCGCCACCATTTACCGCAGTCTTCCGCACAAACGAGGAGCATCATCCAACGTCGTCACACGCAAAAAAACGGACACGCGAGCAGTTGTACCATTCAACGTCTTTGCGTGCAATGGGTGGTCGGTGGCAGTAGCAGCGTGGCAGCATCAGCGCTAGCAAAAGTCGTGGGTAATGTGCACGATACGATACGATACGATATAGCACGGCCAGCACAAACAGCAGCACTGGCGCCAGCAACAACACGAGAAAACACACGAGAAAGAGAGAGCGAGAGCGAGAGCGAGAAAGAACGAGAGACATGTACCAGCACCGGCGGCATGCAGGACGACGCGGGAAAACCGAGGTGGCTGGGATGGGGAACAAACCAACCAGGGACTCAAAAAGAGCACCAGGAAAACAGCAACAGTGCACTCACGAGCACAACAAACCCCGGTATGAAGTGTATGTATCGGCACATCTTGCCGGTCCCGCTCCTCTCACCCCTGCACATCACTGACAGTGCTGACAGTGCTGACAGTGCTACCCGCTCCGGCAATGGGCGTGCACCAGCACCTCCACCTCCTCCTCCTCCTCCATCGATGCAGTAGCATCGACAGCGTCTACAATACTCCCCTCCCTTCCCTCAGGGCTCCTCTCAACCATATACAACGGCGATGCACTGCCCCCGCACCCTCCCCCCACTCCTTTCGGACAAAGCCTGATACTACAGAACCCCCTGCCTTGCGCGCCAGTGCAATAACAATACCCTGAAAGACGTTTCAACCCTAAATTTCTTTTCAACCCACCGCTTCTTCCCCTCCGCCCTTCCCTTTCCATGCGCCTGCCCGTTGCCGTTGCTGCTCCCCATGCTGCTGCTGTTGTTGTTGTTGTTGCTGCTGCTGCTGCTGCTCCTGTCTCCTGAGCTTTTTTTCGGCCGAAGTCTGCGACGTGGTCGCGCGTCCTCGCGGCGCTTCTAAGACGTACCACATGTCCAGTGGCTGAAAAGGAACCGGGGAGGGGGGGGGTCATGTTTTGCGTGCCTTAGACCGTTGACCACGCGTCCTCGAGAGGACGGAGGGGGGCGTTGTTGAGAGCGACAGGCATGAACGAGGTTCTGGTTGATAGCATCGTATGCATATGGGCTGTGGCCGCCACCGATGCTGAGGCTCAAGCAGGGAGGCCTATCTTCAAGACGTGCGGCGGAAATACTGTCCCTCTTCAGGGTGGACGCCCACGGTCCAAAAGGGCTAAAAGGGACGCTCGCTGTGCTTGAATGTGAATGGTTTTTTAAGAGTAGGGGCAGCACCAGGAGAATATTGAATGTACGTGAAGCGAGAAGCGGGGGGTGCACCGGTTTGCATGAGCAATGACTGGCCTACTGGGCAACCTGATGTTGGTGCTATTGAGGGAAGACAGCACATTAGGTAGCCGTAGTGAACAAGTAGATGCTGGGACGGGACACAAGCAGGAGGAGCCTTCACCTATAACACGAAAGAAACAAATCATGTTCCCACCAACAGGTGGCAAACGTGCGTCCAAAAGAGACGGGAAAGAGTTCAAAACGAGATGGCAAGAGCTAGCTCGGCTTTTGGGCTACTGTGCGTGCAATAGGCGGTGGGGGCCGACACACGTGGAACTTCAGCATGTGCGATGCTTCTTCAGGGGAAGGTGGAGAGAAAGACGGTGCAAGTGGCCTGTCTTGCCTTCTGGGATAGCAGCTCTTCGCCGATGCACCAAGAGACAGAATGAATCATGCACGCCAAAAGAGGTGGCAAATGTGCCCAAAAGAGACAGGAAAGGGTTGAAAAGAGATGGCAAGAACTTGTGTAAGAAGGTTATGTGACCTTGTAAGATGTTGTGGATGAGCTGTCCGTACCTGTTGGGATAGCAGCTCTTCGCCGATGGCGACCTCGAAGTGGCCCAGAGGATCGTCTGGAGTAGAACGATCCCAGTCCCAGACTTCCACCTTCAAGACCGCGCCCGATCTGACTTGCCGAGAAAATCGGCAAACACGATCACGACGACGACAAACGGACTATGAACACGATGACAACAAAGAACATGAGAACCACAACGGCAATCACGATAGTGTACCTTCTGACTGGTTATTATAGTTTGCCTTCTGACTAGATATTTCTAGTGCACCTCCTGACTCGTTAGTGTGCTGTACCTTCTGACTGGTATCCTCTGACTTGTTTATTGTAGTTCAGAGTACGTTTTGACTGGTACCAGGTATATTATCGTGTAGTCCAGATACCTTCTGACTGGCAAGGAAAACTCCTCGTCCCAGACGGGATTGAGCGTGGTCTTGATGATCCTCGTCCGGTCCTTCAACCGCAGCCTCTCCGACCACTCCTGCCCGTGCGACAAGTACCTGCCGAAAAACAACAATTAAACGATGTGAGGAATCTCTCTCTCTCCGCCATCAAAATGACGGCAATAACGCCTACCAGAGAGGTGCATAGGTGCTTTGGGGGGGGTGGGCGACGGAGAGGAGACCGAAAGTCTGTCGGGTGTTTGGCCGGGCTCGACCAATCAGACCTTTCCCGTTAGTAAGGCTGAGGCATGACCATACAAAAGCGACAAGGACGGTAATAGAAGAGAACGGGACCATCGACGGTGTTGCAAAAGCACAAGACAATCGACGGTATTACAAAAGAACAAGACATTAGACGATGCTACGAAAGAACGAGACAATCCACGGTACTAAAGAACAAGACAATAGAGGGTACTACGAAAGAACGAGACAACAGACGGTACTACAAAAGAACGAGACAACAGACGGTACTACGAAAGAACGAGACAATACACGGTACCAAAGGAAAAAGACAGCGGAATGTGCTGTTGGAATATTCAATGTCAGTCATTCGTGATACATACATTCCAACAGGTAGATATACTACAAAACAGACGGAGACAACACACGTAGACCGGAAGACGAAAAAATACATACTATATCAGCAAGGCGAATCGCACTTCTAACCTTTTGTTCGCACGTGCAAGAGTGCCCTGCCGAAACTTCCACGCTTGGCACACAACCGCACCCACCACACACTGCTCATTGCTTTGTCTCCCGAGGTTTGTTCGGCGTTGCTGTCAGGTCTGAAACAGCACCAGACTCGACTCTAAACATCCAAATTAACGTTTCTCGCACCTTCCCGTGAGGCACAGCTTTACGTAAGGGTCGCT